ACTACTATTATTACTGTTATTATTATTATTATTATTACTATTATTGTTATTATTATTATTATTATTGTTATTATTATTATTATCATTATCATTATTTATTATTATTACTTTTCGCCATTATTATTTTTATCACTGTCATTTTTTTAAGTCCCATACTGCTATTATTTTAACTGCACCCCCTTCATTGTCCTTTGTGTTTCGTTTCAAAATTTTCAAAAAAATATTTACCATATTCCCTAGTACGATCAGCTAATGCTTGACATAAGCCAATCGGATCTAAGGCAACATCATTTGGCGAAAACAGCGCTAGCTGTAATAGAAAAAACATTGAGCTGCACCAAAAATAAACACGAAAAATACGTGAAAAAGTGGTGGAGACAATTTACAAGCAAAAAATGCACAAAAAAAGGAAATTTCGGGGGATTTGAGGGGCGAAAACTCGTCTGGACTTACCCGAATACCATCCGTACTGACCGATTTCGGGAACCAACGCCGCATTTCTTCCGGACTATCATACAGTTGCGCTTCTTCCCCGTAGATTGTTGAGCGCGAAAACATTCGTCGTAGACTTATTTCACCGTCCCGTGTGCTTGTTAGATAAAATCGACCACAACGACTGTATTCTGTAATTTTCTTGGTAAAATTACCCCAGTACTACAAGAATGATATGAGAAAATTCAAAAATCATCGCCAACAGAAGATATTTCATATGAAAAGCAGAAATTTCTGGCGGAAAAGTATTCAAAAAAATCATGAAACGCTGGAAAATTCGTCGTCTAGGCTACTGTTATCAGCAGAGGAGTTCATTCACACATAATCAGAAATTCCACCACATTTTACCGCAAAAAAAACGCAAAACGATGAATCGCTAAAACATTCGTTGTCCAGGCTTTTGTAACCAGCAAAGAAGTGGTTCATTCACGTATAATCAAAAAGTCCATCGCATTTTACCACAAAATGGGCAAAATGGCATTTTTCTGAGCTCTTTGTTTTCCTAATAATTCTAAGCCTTCTATGAATTACCCATAATAAGACATTCGCGAAATATTATAAACTTGAGACAATACAAACTGAAGTCGTTCTAGCTACTGAGATAACCAAACTCTCTACGATTCGTCCATTTTTTTTCGATAGTAAACTTGTACTGGCACAGGCCATGAACACAAAAATGCCATCATTTTGCTTCTAAGCAATCCTCGAAAGAGAAAGCCATCGATATCCTTGCCAGTGAGTAAGAACTGTTAGCGCCACTGCTACTATTCGAGCTAGTTTTCACGCAAATCTGCCTTTAAGACCCAAATAGTACTGTATTTGCAGGAAATAAGTGTGAAATCTTACTGAAATTTGATTTTTGACATAAATCGGCGTATAAATCCATTGATTGTTTTGCCATGTACTGTTTTGCAACATCTTGCCAATGCATTGGTGCTGTTACTAGGCCTGAGCTTATTGCTGTTGCACCACCCAAACCAACACTAAAACAACTGATAAATTCTTTATTGCCAGCGAAGAATGGAAAAATTTAAACTTAAAAACCGGCAAAGCAAAGCCAAGCATCATCAGCGAAGAATCTAAGCTATTATTATTATCGTTATTATTATTGTTATTATTATAGTTATTATTGTTATTATTATTAGTGTTACTGTTGTTATTATCATTGTTATTATTTTTGTCATTATTATTATTGTTATTATTGTTGTTATTATTACTGTTATTATTATTGTTATTATTATCATTGTTATTATTATTACTTTTATTATTATTGCTATTAT